GTAAGGGCTATTGTTTAAGTCTCACACAATTATAACAAAGCGTTCATGAGGGTCAAGAAGAGAAGTGTGAAGGATAGAGCGTTCTTTATGGCTATTAAAGTGCCTGTTTTCTTGACTTATGCATTTGCAGTAAAAATATGAGGAAACAATGTGTGTGCATTTGGGAGGTTTTCCAGCTAAAAAATCAATTTCATGTACACAAATGACACCTTTGACATTGTTAGCTTCTTGCCACATAGCCTTATGCTTAAAAGGGCTGTTCAGGCTGGGCTTTTAGAGAGATAACTTGAAGATCCATGTAGAAGGATAAATGTTGCTTGGTTTTGTTGATGTCATACTCCCAGTACATGAAAAACTTTCTGACATATGGCCATAAGCTCTTTTCCATTGCCAACCATCAGTGTAGTTCCCGTAGGGATTGTGTCTTCATCTGTAAGAACATCTTGCGTGGTAACTTGGTATCAAAGGTGTCCTCAAACTAAGAGCAGTCTAACAGCAACAAGATAGATAAATAAAAAAACATGAAATTTATCTCAATGAGCAGATAATACCGCATATTCGTAAGGAGGTATTAGCCCAATAGAGCAACAGAGTATACCAGAACTTATTAAGCATCTGCCACATCTTGAGTTAATGATGAATCAGTTTTGTTTGTCAATGTCAGTCAGGGTTTTTTTCCCACATTGGTTCTAGCCTAGAGAGTGATGATTAAGCTGGTGTAGCATTTTTCATCAGCAGGCAGTATGCTCCAGTGTTTTGCAAGACGCATACCTTCATCCACCAAGATCACTGTGTAGGTTTTCCAAGGTATCACACTTTCACACCAAAAAAAAAAAATTATATAAATAATTTTATTCCAGAGCTCTTTTTAACATTACAGTTTGTATGCAATACTATAACAGAATCTGACCAGTACCATTCTTTCAACATTTTGTTTGCAACACTATGACAAAATCTGACCAGGAATAATGTTTTGAGGTTTTGATTCCCTTTACACAATGACTGCAATTGGAATAAAGCACTGTAGAGGAAGAGGAATGCAGAAACATGTAAAGCATGTCACCCTCCTGTCCCTCTGCATCTCTTGCTGTTTACCTCCGGTAAGTGCTGGGAGCTAGAGGCAGGTGCCCACTAGCAAAGCTGCTGTTTTCTTGCTAGCTATGGTGTCATGTGTACCTGAACCAATGGGAAGGGGGGTGGGGGGTGCCCTGGCCAAAATCACAGCTAGTGCTACAGGGCACCAGGGAAGATCAGAAACGGATTAACAAAGAAAAAAAAAAAAAGCATACATAAGTGATAATTCCTTTTTAAAGTGCTTCTATAGCCCAGACTTTTTAGTTTTGGTTACAGTAGTAATTAATAGACCCCTTTTCAGGTTTTATTTTTTATCTCTGGGTCCCCAGAGGGTTCAACTGCCTTCTCTTCTACTGACAACCATAAAGCTTTGAATTTGTCAATGATCATAGTCACCAAGATAAACAGAGCTTCTACCAAGCTCTGTTTATCTACCAAGACAGTAATAAAAACATGACAAGGGTTCTAAACCTCTTGCTCTATCCAAAACATTTTTGGCTATAGAAACAATTTAATAAAAATTCTTAGTAATTTTTTTAAACTACATAGATATTTAACATATCACCACATGAATTCACACAGGCCTCCTTTTCTTCAAACCAGCTTCAAAACACTGCAAACCATACTTGCCTCCAAAACGTAACTACTTTTATCTACCATTCTAAACTGAATATTACAGTTAACAGAATATAGAAACATATATGAAAACAAGTCCATCAAAAATTGCTTATCTACAGAAAAAAAAAAAAGTATAAGGCACTTACAGTATATGAAATCTGTGAGATATAAAAATAAAGACCAGCATACAGTATCTTTCCTGAATCTTTCTTGGGCCTCTGAAAAAGTTATAGTTTAACAAAATACATGAAACAACTTTTCAGTCACCCTAAAGAAAAAGTAGTTGAATGAAAATAAAGGCAGTCAGAAACACATTCATATTTTTTACCTACAGTAAGGGTAAAAGCTGAAATCCAGACAGGCATAAAATGCCAATACAGATATGCACTTTAAACCTCAACCAAAATAAATAACTGAATTTGACTAAATTTCAGCAGAACAAATGTATTTACTTATTGAATACGGGCCCTCCGCCATGTAAAAAACACCTATTTTAGTACTACCTTTTTTTTATATTGCCATACAAGTATGGAGATTAAGCGGATCCCACCTTGAGATCATTGATAATCGTTGATACATTTTTTTCTTTCATGGATTAGGGTTTTATATTTCCTGCACATTTTATTAAAGGCCATTTTGAAATATATTTGTAGGTGTTCATCTACCCTTTTTCTTTGCTTGCAGAATTGTATAATAAAGTCAGTAGGCTGATCCACAACCTGAAAGCTGAGTCAGAGGTTGTGACATCATCAACCTACCTCTCTGCTGCCAGAGGAAGCTTTGTACTAATTGATAGAATACATCGCTTTCTAGGAGTGGCTGAGCACCGCTCAGACAGACTCTTGTGTACCGGGTCTGAAACAGGAAGGTCTCAGCTCACACCCAGAACACACACTGTTGTATGCTGTAAGTAGCCTCAGCTACATACAGTTTATACTGCAAATCCAGCAGCCTCACGTTAGTGAAACACAGTTTTTTTGGGCCAGCTATCCTTTAAATATGTTCCCCAAGTGTAGATCATGAGTATATACTAGGAAGGTAGGTGTAAAAGTGCAGTTGGTAAATCTACATCTAAAAAAAGACTTTATAAATAAGGTTTATGGAGGTATATCACAACTTAGCTTTTGAATGTTTAAACATTTTTATAAAGCATGTGCTGACCCACCAGCTATTTGGAAGTACTTCAAAATTTATTTTGCTTTTAACATTCGATTTCAGAGTGAATGCACATTTCCGAACAAAAACCACACCCACTGTTAGAAGAACAGAACAAAAATCCACCCTGCTACTTCGAATTGAGAACATTACAATTTTGAGAACTTCGCTATACCCTCAATGTACATAAAGGATTTCCAATGAAACTTTAACTGTGCTTCCTGTTCAATAGTAGCACGCAATTGTTTTGCCATGCTGATCATCTTATTTCATTGCAATGCTTTCTTACAGTGACTTGCTCAATTGTTTGTGTCAAACCCCCCGTAAGGCTCCAAGTAGCGAGAGGCCAATGCAGTGTTGTTTATTCATACCAAAAAAGGTGCATGTGATTTACTAATGATGATAGGATTGTACTGATTTACGTGAAGTCTGCACTAAATAACTTTTCTACTTTAACTTGGCCAGTTGTCTACAGTAAAGAAATAAAAAACGTTAGAACAGCATTTAAAATCTGATATATTTAATAAAAACTAATTATACCACCCACCAGAATATAAAAATAACATAACCCTTGTACTGTGTGACCTCAAAGAGCACCATCAAGGCACACTGGTTATTATGTTAATCTCCAAGGAAACCATATTTACCCTACTGGAATGAAAGCACTCCCTGGAAACAGTATTTTACAGGAATGCAAAAGAAAATGTCATGTCTACTTGAAACGGCAAAGAACATACAAAAAATAAACACACAGAAAGAACTCTACATGCAGGCCATTGTCATTGTTCCAGGGCGCTGGTTTTACATGAGGTTTTTAACAGAAAATGGCTCAACACACGAATGGTGGAGCTGCATTTAAAACCACAGCAAACCTAACAAGTAAAAATTTAACACTAACAGTTTGAAGACTGCTAAAATTCCCGTAAATCAGACATTTACCAGTCACACATGCCGAATTATAAATGCGCCCATATGCCAGAAGCTGAAGGGTCGCTTCACACTGCCCTACTGTGTTTTTGATAAAGTGCAGCTAATCTGCGGTTTTCATGTGGGTTAATTGCGTTTTCCCATAGACTTTTTTTTTTAGATCTTACAGTAATGTTATTGAACAGCTACAAAAAAAAAATTACAACCAAAGCAAAATATACACAATTCATGCTGCATCCTTGATGCACTTTTTGGGGAAAAAAAGAGGGCCAAAATCGCGGGAACTCATAGAAGTCCATGGAAAAGTACAGCTAACTCACATAAAAAACCACTGGTAAGCAGTGCTTTTAGCAATAGCGCAGCAGAGGAGTGTGACGCCACACTAAACTTCAGCAGCTAGTACACATCTATAGAAGGGCATTTACAAATGTTAATTGTAAAAGCCCATATTAAGCATGTTTTACCACTTTATAGTCTGGTCCTGCAGTGTGTTTCCAATTTTTGCTCAGAAAGTAGAAAGTACCTTCCTGTCCCCTCCTGCATACCTCCTGAGAAGTGCCCTCATGCATACTTATAGCACTTAGGAAGGGGAAGGAAGGAGGGGTAGCTGTCTGACCACATGTGACAACAAGACTACAAAGTGCACTGGCCAGAAGTCAAACTCTGGTGTCTATTTACTCATTAAGTAACTGCTATAACAAAACGTGAAGACTATGAAAACAGAAATTGTCAGTAAAACATATATCCAAATAAATAGACAATATGATAAAATTAGTGAAGATGTGACCAGCAATAACACTGCATGTAGCTTATAAGACTTGAACAAGTGATCAATCATCTGATTTCTATTTCCAAATTTTATCACTAGACCAAAAATGGTTTAACAGCTTAAGTACAAACATGAGAAACTCTATATATTTTCTCTTTATTTGGTCCATCAAACTTCCCTCCAGCAGTTTTGAAAACACTTCAGTATGCGGCTTCATAAATATTGGCCAGTTTGGTAGTAAAGGCTTCCAAGTTAAAATTATGTTTGAAAAGTAACAATTAAAAAGGCAATAAAATCCTTGGCCTAAGATCAAAACAGTAGAATTCTGATTTGGTCTTCTTAACAGAATACTTCAGTCAGATTATATACATCTGAGATTGCAATCTGATTTGTCAGCTCTGAAGCCCTATGCAAAGATGTTTGTGACAAATTCCAGGAATCTCTTGCCATACTGGTCTGGATGAACAGTAGATATCTCAGCTCCAGCCTAGAAAACAGAGGTAATATAGGTAAGATACTTCTTTGAAACTGATTATTAGTGCTGTGTTTCTTAAAACACATTTACACAGAATCATAAACTTGCTTGCAAAACAAGCACAGCAACACCTTCCCCTTACACACTAGTCCAACATTTTATATATATATATATATATATATATATATATATATATATATATATATATATATATATATATATATACACACACACACACACACACACACACACAAAAAGATTTTTACCACCCAATATACCTGTACAATTTGCACTTAAGCACAGACACTGTCATTGCTTACATTAGTTGGTTCAATATAAATGTTTACACCCAAACACAAGACAATCCTTCTAGTAAATACTTTAAAAAATTAGAAACAATGTACAAGTACCAAAATATGACTGTTTCAGTCTACTGCAGTTCCCGTTAGAGCTCAGACTGCAAGTGGAAGGGGCAGCACAAAAAACCCAGCAAGTAGGAGCTGTAGCTGTGGCGTTTCTCTGGGTTGTTTTTTGATCTTGGTATAAGATAGAGAGACCATTTGTGAAAACATTTTATTGGTTCCACACTTTAATACCTCATACAGGGGAAGCTCGTCAGTGATCTAGTCCAGATGTCTGGGTTGATCTAAGTGCTTGATAGAGGGGTGTGTTACTATTTTCAATTCCCTATTGACCTCCATTAGACAATTTTATCATTCATTCACTCAGCTGGACCACTGAGGGGTCTGTTTGCATAGACAATGCATGGAATTAACCAGCAAGGATCCTTTGAATTTCTGGTTTTAGGAATGGCGATAATACTGTTTATGACATCTCACCTTTCCTCCTGAAGATTCAAATTATAAATTCAATGAATTGAAACGTGTTGGGGTTTTTCTCTTTGGTGATATATAGCCTAATCATCGCCATCCACAGCAAAATTATGTTTTGTGTACTGTGTCTATGTTTTTCATTGACGTACTATGTTCAATAAATTTGCATTTTTTTTTATATAAGATCTTTTTCTCCTTTTGTAGTTTTGGTTCCTAAAAAGTCCCTTTTCTTCTCTGTATGTTTTTTATGGCTCTGCAAAAACCCAGTCAGCTGTGCTAATCCAAGATAGTTGTGGATCCTCAAGAGGATTTCCAAGGGGCAGCAAGACAACGACCAAGAGAACATCAAGTGATCGCACAGGCCTCACCTGAAAGTCTCCACTACCCAATGACTAGGCCCGTAGGCCAACCTGAGGGAGCAGACACTGCTAGCTTTAATTATTAATCTCAGCGCAAGTTGTGCTATGATTTCCCACAGCAAACAGCTTTCCTCTAGTACAGGAGCGTCAAACTGGTGGCCTTCCAGCTGTTTCGAAACCTTCCGGAGTCATGCTTGTAACGGTCAATCTTGCAATGCCTCATGGGACTTGTAGTTTGGCAACAGCTGGAGGGCTGCCAGTTTGAGACCCATGCTCTGGTACATTACATTGGTTTGGTCCCCCATGATGACCACACATTCTCCACAATACAATTAAAGATCCCCTTGGCTGTTGTAAGGTCCTGGTTTCACTTTCTAATAGATATACTCTGTTATCCTTGGTTATTTTCTAGCCGTTCATACCGCATCTGGTGATGTGCAGCACTACAAGCAGATCCTGTTATTTTCATCTTACCGCTGAATCCTTATGACCTTACCATTCCCTGAAACTTTTCCTGTGCCTGTTAACTGATACTATTATAGGCAAAGAGATTACTAAAACTGACAGGTGTTCTAATCTCTCTCCCCTATGAGAAACAAAAAAAAGAAGTTTTACCTTTAGTTACACTTTGAGCATTATATAACTGCTCCACCTGTTGTGGTGTAATGGATATTTTTGCACACAGGCATGAGTAACATTTTCTCTTCCTACGTTTTATAGTGTCACATTACAAATGTTTTCTGCACAGTTTATAGCTTTAAATTTTGTAATTTATTGCACCTTTTGCCTGTGTAGACACTGCTGACCCCAATGTTACCATTTGTCTCTTATTGCTATGGTGACCACCCATGCAATGCTTCATTATACAGCCTGCTTTCAATGTTCCTTTAGGTTTTTTTTCCCCCTTTTCTTTTTTGTTACATTTTCTATTCTTTTCCTAACCCCATCCCCTCCTGCCATATAAGTGGTTTCCCTGTCATTACTCCAATTTGATGCTGTTATCCCACAATGTCCTTCCCTCCGCTGCCATCAGTCATGGAGCTAAACTTATTTACATTGACAGCTCAAGGGCTGAATATTCCTCACAGAAAAGACTAAGGCCTTTCCCATTTTTTAAAATTCCCTTCATGCCAATATCATCTGTTTACAACAGACACATTTGTCCAAAGCCTCTTGTCCAAGTTACTTTTCTGCTGCGTACCTCCAAATATACACTACAAGTGCATCACTGAAAGTATGAGGCATATTGAGGGGGGCTTTAAAAGGTCAATTCCATTTACTTGCTCCCTGGAATTCTGTGATCCCAAGATTACCATATTCTGCTTTTGGGGTATCTGGGCTACAAGGCTTACCAAGTTAAAATGGTGGCATATTACACCCCTAACATCCACCAAGGCCCCCTTTTCACTTATCTGTATCAGCTTATCAACTTCCATGCTCAAGGTTCTCTTGGGGTGATTAATGTAATGCTAAAGCCAACCTTGGACATGCATTCTTGCTCACATACCCAAATGTTACCTGATTAACCACAAGCCTACGGGGCACTTACACACCCTTCCTGCCCAGGCCAAATTTCCAGCTTTCAGCACTGTCGAACTTTGAATGACAATTGCGCGGTCATGCAACACTGTACCCATATGACATTCTTATTTTTTTGTGACAGATAGAGCTTTCTTTTTAGGTGGTATTTAATCAACTCTGGGTTTTTTATTTTTTCTTAAACCAAAAACCACTGAAAATTTTGAAAAAGAAGTTTCTTAGTTTGTTATACAATTTAAGTGATTTTTCTCCTTCACTGATGTGCGCTAATGAGGCTGCAGTATTGGGCACTGATAGGCTGCACTGATGGACACTGATAGGTGGCACTGATGAGGAGGCACTGGTAGGTGGCACTGATGGGCATTGACAGGAATCACTGATGGGAACTGAAAGGCAGCACTGATAAATGGAAATTATATATGGCACTGGCTGGCACCACTGACAGGCACTACTGATTGGCAGCTCAGATGGGCACTGATATGTGGCATTGATGTGCACTGGTAGGTACTGATATGTGGCATTGGATGAGCACTGACACAAGGCACTGACAGGTGGCACTGCTGGGGCTACACTGATCATCAGGGCTACACTGATCATCAGTGCCCTCAGCGTGACAGCTCGAGAGGAGAGAAATGCCGATAACCGGCATTTCCCTGTTTACATGTGATCAGCTGTGATTGGACACAGCTGATCACATGAGCAAGCCGACATCTTCGGCTCTTTCCGTGATCGGTGATCCACTGTGTCCGAGGGACACACGCTCCCCCACGATTCCTCCCACTGACACCAATGATGGTGTCCCATCATTAGTGTCAATGTGTGAGGAATAGTGCCCCATCATTGGTATCAGTGGGAAGGAATCGTGCCCCATCATTGGTAAGTGGGAGGAATAGTGCCCCATCATTGGTATCAGTGGGAGGAATAGTGCCCCATCATTGGTGTCAGTGGGAGGAATAGTGCCCCATCATTAGTGTCAGTGGGAGGAATAGTGCCCCATCATTGGTGTCAGTGGGAGGAATAGTGCCCCATCATTGGTGTCAGTGGGAGGCCCACTTGGGACAAGTGAGGGGCAGTGGGACAGGAGGAGCTCAGAGGGACAGGTAGGGGACAGTGTGACGGGGGGCATGGGACAGGATCGGGGCAGCGGGACAGGAGGAGCGCAGAGGGACAGATGGGGGGCAGCATGGTGGGGGGGCATGGGACAGGATCAGGGCAGTGGGACAGAAGTAGTGCAGAGGGACAGGTGAGGGGCAGATGGACAGGAGGAGCGCAGAGGGACAAGTGAGGAGCAGATGGACAGGAGGAGCGCAGAGGGACAGGTGAGGGGCAGATGGACAGGAGGAGCGCAGAGGGACAGGTGAGGGGCAGATGGACAGGAGGAGCGCAGAGGGACAGGTGAGGGGCAGATGGACAGGAGGAGCGCAGAGGGACAGGTGAGGGGCAGATGGACAGGAGGAGCGCAGAGGGACAGGTGAGGGGCAGATGGACAGGAGGAGCGCAGAGGGACAGGTGAGGGGCAGATGGACAGGAGGAGCGCAGAGGGACAGGTGAGGGGCAGATGGACAGGAGGAGGGCAGATGGACAGGAGGAGCGCAGAGGGACAGGAGGAGCGCAGAGGGACAGGTGAGGGGCAGATGCACAGGAGCGCAGAGGGACAGGTGAGGGGCAGATGCACAGGAGCGCAGAGGGACAGGTGAGGGGCAGATGGACAGGAGAGCGCAGAGGGACAGGTGAGGGGCAGATGGACAGGAGCGCAGAGGGACAGGTAAGGGGCAGATGACAGGAGAAGCGCAGAGGTACAGGTGAAGGGCAGATGGACAGGAGACAAGCAGAGGGACAGGTGAGGGGCAGGGGACAGGAGGAGCGCAGTAGGACAGGTGAGGGGCAGATGGACAGGAGGAGCGCAGAGGGACAGGTGAGGGGCAGATGGACAGGAGGAGCGCAGAGGGACAGGTGAGGGGCAGATGGACAGGAGGAGCGCAGAGGGACAGGTGAGGGGCAGATGGACAGGAGGAGCGCAGAGGGACAGGTGAGGGGCAGTGGGACAGGAGGAGGGCAGAGGGACAGGTGGGTGGTAATGGGGACAGATGGGTGGTAGCGGGGACAGATGGGTGGTAGTGGGACAATGTGGGGGACAGGAGGGGGAAGTGGAACAGGTGTGGGGCAGGGTGACATGTGGGGGCAGTGTGATGGATGGGGGGCAGTGTATCAGGGGACAGTGAGACAGGACTGAGGGAGCACTAGTCCTCTAAGCACTTACCTGTCTAGCAGCGGCTCCTCC